AATAAATCAACTGATTTGCATTACTAACAACCGGTGTCTCATATTACATCACAAAGCTTTTCGCGCGGATTATATTTCGCACATTACTAAAATTCGCGCACCCAGTGCTGCGCGAATTCTAGTACTGCGCAAATTTACAAGTAAGGTATTGAAATTGTAGCAACAAGTCATGTTATGCAAGTTTTTAATGATTTGCATTATTCAAATAGATGCAAGTTTATTAGCATAGCATGACCAGTTGCCATGCATGGCTAGATTGCCACTGAATACTGTACAATGTCATATATATCAACAATGATAATACTTGAATGAATCATTGCCTCATTGGACATGGTTCGCGAAGTCGATAAATCAAACACGTCGACTGGATATTGTATATCGTATTAATATTTGAAATAACAAACAAAACAATTCGATCTAAAATGAAATTAAACTATGTAAAAGACTAATATTTAACATGCAATGATACCTATAAACGCGCATATGATGACAATTGATATTTACATGATAATATTACTTACTTCTGTGGCAATATCCAGTACTTTACACCGTTTTACATATTCAGGTTAGCATAATCTCCGTATAAACGTTAACGTTCAAACCACAGGTTAGCAATCAGTTTTCAGGTCAGTATAAATTACAGATCTCGGTACTGTTTCAGTGTTTCTGTCAACCTCGCAAGCAAGGGCCTCCACACCCGCGGCGGGACGGAGACCCTTGTAAAGGCTGGTCACGTGACCTCCCAGATTCTGGGAGGTAAGTCAAATTATACTGAGAGAGGGGTGGTTGAGGAGCGGGTTTGTAAATTTCTCATATTTGGGGAATATGAGAAATTTACAGACCCGCTCCTCAACCACCCCTCTCTCAGTATAATTTGACTTACCTCCCAGAACCTGGGAGGTCACGTGACCAGCCTTTACAAGGGTCTCCGTCCCGCCGCGTGTGTGGAGGCCCTTGCTTGCGAGGTTGTGTTTCTGTTTCATGCATTCATGCAGGCATCTGGTTATTCTTGCGACATGCTGGCCTAATATCATATTTCTAAATGTCTATCAAAGTATTTCTCAGTCCTTTATTGGCTGACTATTATTAATGTTTAGTCTATATAGAAATGTTAACAGAACAGTTTTTAATCGTACTATCAGTACTCGTTTATCGGAACATCCTCCCCGCCCAAAAAGGATATAGTCCTTATTCTTCTTCGTCATATCCTTCTACCGGATATACTACAGCAACTTCGTTATCGGTCTAGTGTACTCTCCGACAGACGTTTTCAATTTCACGTTTCTTATCCGACCGTCTTGTCCAGGATAAACTTCGATGACTCTACCCAGCGTCCATTTTCCTCATACAGCATTCTCTTCTACGTACGTCACTACGTCGTCTACTTGAAGGTTTCGTCTTTTCATCTGCCATTTCTTTCGTATGACTAGCGTCGGAAACACATCCCGAGTCCATCGTTTCCAAAACGAATCAACCAATTTTTGGACAAACTCGACTCGATCACGCGGATTCCTGGTTGGCTTGAACGGACCTTGCGGCACTTCAGACGTCGCTCGACCAAGCAATACGTCATTCGGACAGAGATATGATCCATCGTCAGAGTCGTTGGGCGCTCTACCAATGGGTCGTTGATTAACTAAGTTTGCAGACTCTAGCAAATACGTGTACAGTTCGAATGGCGTCAACGTTTTATCTCCAACCACTTTCTTTAAGGCTCTTTTGCAGGTCTTCACCATAGCTTCAGCGCATCCGTTTTGGTGTGGGGCCTTTGGGGTGATAAACTTCCATTCCATACCTTTTTCTGCAGAAAATTCTTGAAGTTGCTTCTTGTCCCAACCGGCAATCATCTCTCGTAGTTCACGTTCGGCTCCAACAAATTGGGTTCCATTGTCACTCATCATGATGGCAGGCTGACCTCTGATAGAGAAAAATCTACAAAGGACTTGCAAAAACTCCATTGTAGAACAATCCACTGCGAGTTCCAGATGAACTGCTCTCGTGTTGAGACACGTGAATAAAACACCATAGTGTTTTGCCGTTTTGTTGCGCCCGATCTTTACAATGAATGTACCAAAGTAGTCGCACGCTGTGTGGTGGAAAGGTGGTGTACAAGGTGCAAGACGCAGCTGTGGAAGGTCGGACATAAACTGTGACTCGATTTTGTGTTCCATTTCTCGACAGAATACGCAACGATACTTGACAGACTTAGCGAGATCGTGAGCTCTAGTGATCCAGTATTTTCGCCGAGCTTTCGCTGTCGTCGTCGCCACTCCGTTATGGCCAAACTGATGCGCCTTGCGTGTGATCAACAATGAAATCCAATGATCGTGGTGTAACAAAGCTGGATGCTTACAATCATACGTCACAACGGCTTTCGAGACTCGTCCACTTACTCTGACCACGTCTTCTTCATCTCGGAATGGGCTGAGAGACCTGAATTCCCCTTTCACCAGTCTAGACCTAGGCCTTTACTCGGCTGGTAATTATCGCAATGGTCATTTGCCTCGTAAAGGCCTAGTAGATTTCACAAGTTCTCAAATTAGCCCCATAACTTTGTGATCCGAAATTGATCAGAAACCAACAACTAAAGCAATTTATACTGTCCAGTAGTTATTACATTAACTATAAAAACATTTTATGACTAAACTAAGTTCTATTTTGTAGTAATATTTTGACTCATTTTGACCTTTTCCAACATAATAATAGTGTTGCTTCAAACTTTATGATAAAAAACCCGATTTTCTAGACGTGTATACAAATAAAAATAGTATGTTTATACTATAAATGAGTTTTTTTTTACCTGTATCGGTTTAAATTCGCTGTTAAGTTGCAAATAATTCTGTTTGAGAACGCAATAATTTGGCATTTCGCAACCAGGGCAGTTTCAGGGCAGTTTTGGCCTTGTTGTTGGGAAATCCACTGGGCCTTCTATTTTTTCGCTTGCGCATCCTCCGCCCCGCCCCCAAATCACCTAGTCCCAGTCTTTTCATGTGAAAAAGCGCTGAATATTAAAAAAAATAATAAGAATAGAAGGCCTAGGTCTACGCTGCCCTTTCACTAAATGATCGTTTAAACTTCTCTGCGCTTCTTTGACCCAAAATGACTCGTCTTCGTGCAGTTCCTGGGGTGTCAGAGGGCTTTCCATGTTTAGGTTTCGTACGTCATTTGTTCCTCCCCGTCTTTCTCGTGCCTTTCGAGCCAGTCGTTTCATTCGGGCAGTGACTCTTATCAATCTTCCCCGACTTGAAACTTCTTGATATTCATCTCTTCTTCGGCTTTTGATAATGTTAACTTACAGACAATCTCAGCTTTATGTCGCTCAGTGTTCACTTATTGAACAAGCTCTTCTTCGAGTACTGCTGCTTCCTGCGGCCACTCTTCTTCCGGGGACTGAAGAAACGCTGGACCATGTTTCCACTGATCATTCAGCTCTAATACTGGGATACCGCGAGATACAGCACCTGCCACGTTTTGCTGTCCTACTACGTGTTTCCATTGAGAAGGATTGGAGTTATTCTGAATCTCTGCAACTCTCGCTGACACGAAGGGCGTGTAACCTCTGGCTTGGCTACAGATCCACGCTAAAACGATCCTGCTATCAGTGGAATAGATTATCTTCTCAAACTGTAGACGGGATTCTTCCTGGATGCTATTTCCTAGTCGTGATGCGAAAACAGCAGCTTGTAGCTCGAGGCGCGGGATCGTTAATTCTTTAAGTGGTGCGACTCTTGATTTCGCAGCTATAAATCTCGACTCGTATTTTCCATTTGCGACACACCATCTTACGTAGGAACAGGCACCAAATGCTTTCCTTGGCGCATCCGAGAAAATACATAACACTGGTAGTCCTAGCGCGGACACAGGCGTTAAACATCTAGGGAATGTCAGTTCGTTTAGCTGTTTTAACTCTGTGAAAAAGTCAATCCGCTTTTGGAAAATCTCCGTCGGTAGCTCCTGATCGCATTCATATCCACTTTCCCATAACTGTTGCATCCCTATTTTGGCTCTGATTAGAAATGCGGCTGCTAACCCAATCGGGTCGTATATTCTGGCGATACGACTTAATATTTTACGCTTCGTTAAAGGTGGCTGGCTCTGACTGGAACAATCTTCTGTATTTTTGAGTTGCAGCAGATCGGTTTTAACCTTGAACGAAAACGTGTCCATTTTGTTGTTCCACTCGATTCCTAACACCTTTTCCTCACTATCTCCTTTGAACACTTTCATTTCAGGCTTGTCATCACTATTTCCTTGAATCCACCAGTCGCCAACACCGTGTCGATATCGTTCGTTTCTTTCTGAGCTTCCTCAACCGTACTTACAGAATCACAGATGTCATCCATATATGAATTTTCATTGATTGCTTTTGCTGCTTGAGGGTGGGAGACTTGGTTTTCCTCTGCCGTTTTCTGCAGGGCTATTTGGGCCATCGCCGGCGCCGGTTTATCACCGAACGTAAGAACCGTTTTCACGTATACGTCTGGTTCCTTTTCTGTTTCCATGTTTCTCCAGAGGAAGCGGTGTACGTGTTGGTCCTTCTCTGGAACGAGTACACGATGATACATTTTGGATATGTTGTCGCTTATCGCCACTTCTTTCTCTCTAAAGCGCAGAACTACGCCGAATAAATTGTTCAGTAGATCCGGTCCTTTATTCCAGCAGTCGTTTAATTTGTTTCCCTGAAAGATAGACGACAAATTAAATACGATACGCACAGGGGTACTCTTTTCTCTGGCCGTATCACAGCATGATGCGATATGTAATGAACGGGGCCTTCATAACTATCAATTTCTTCCTTTGACAGCTTTCGAGCGAACTTCATTTCTTCCATTTCGATCATTTGTTTGTCGTATGCCAACGCTTGATCTGGGTTTTTCTGCAGATGACGTTCGGTTGATTCCAATCTCTTCAAGGCTTGCACTTTATTATCTGGCAGTAAATTTGGATCCTTTTTCCAAGGATAGGGTATCATCCACTGATCCCCAACTTTCGTAGCTGACTGTTCAATCATTATTTTCTCTTCCCTTTCGACTTGACTCAGCTTGTCGGCTTCACAGATACAGGGTTTCACTTCCACGCCCATACTCTCAGTTGTCCAGAATTCAGCAAGGTCTACTGACGTTTTATTACTCAGATGGAGAACTCGTGTTGTTTCAAAAGTAGTGCATCCTGGTTTGGAACCAAACAGTACCCATCCGAGGGGTGATTTCCTGGCTACGACATGGTCGGCTCGCTTCATCTCTCCAGTGTGCAGGTGTGCATAATCAATTCCGATCAAGAGATCAACTGGTCCTTTTCCGCGTCTGATCTTTTCATTGACAAGTCCAAGATGTTTCGTAATATCAGTGGTATTGATGCTTGCAATTTCGTCACTTATGCATGGGATTCCTATCGCTTTGATGGAATGTTTTCTCGAGTTGTCTATTGCGCTGACAGGGACTCTGTACACCTTCGTTCTCATTTCCTCTTCTTCTCCCCCGACTTTTGTGATGGTAACGGAAATGTCCTTTCCTATAAGTCCAAGGCAGTCTGCGGTTTCTTGGCGGATAAGGCTGATTTGTGCTCCAGAGTCAAAAAGCACATTACCACGTTTTTGGATATTTTCAGGACCAAAGATATTTGCAGCAATGACTGGAAGTATTGATTCATGATTATTCGACAATGATGCAACACCAACGTTCACATTATTGTTCTTATGTAGCAGCGGGTGGTAGAATGCAGTACATTGGGTTCCGTTCTCCGATATTGTGCTCTCTTCCAGCTTTCTTCAAGCAGCTGAAGCAGACGTGGTTAGCTTTGGCTGCTTTCACTCGTTCATCATAATTCATGGCTGCGAGCTTCTGGCAATGGTCTGGCCAGTAGGAAGAATTAGAACAGAACCAACACTTGTGCCAATCTTTTCTCTCATCGTCAACTCTGCCACCAACTATATTCACATGGCGGCAATTTGTTGTACCGCTTCGTACTGAGGAATCCTTAAAAAAAAGCTTCCAATATAGTGGGGCTAAACTATGGAATCAGATACCTGAAGAGATACGCAATTCGGTATCGTATAATTCGTTCTGTAAAAAGCTATCTTCCTCGACCTTAATCTCGACTTAAAGTAGTAGT